CGCGCATGCCGAAGAAGGCCTGCGCCTTGCGGATGTACGCGCGGATGAAGGTCGCGTCCTTCTTGATGGCCGTGTTGCAGTCCTCGACGGCGCTGGGGAACTCGAGCAGCTTGACAAACGCCGCGGCGCGGTTGCTGTAGCCGCGCGGGTCGTCCGGCGCGCGCTTGATCATCTCGCTGTACGCCGCCACCGCGCCTGGCCAGTCGCTCTCCTTGAACTTCTTGTTGCCCTCCTCGCGCGCCTCCTCGGCCTTGGCCGGGTCGATGTACGCGAGGCGCGACTGCTCCGTCTTGGTACGCTCCGCGGCGCGCAGCTTCGTGTTGACGTCGGGCGTGCGGTGCTCCGTGAGCGACTTCTTGTAGTTCTCGATGGCGAGGTCCAGGTTGCCCTGCTTCTCGTACGCGGTGCCGATGCGGGCGTACGACTTGGCAATCATCTTGAAGTCGGCGTAGATGGCGCGGCCCTCCTCGACGGCCTTGGTGCACGCCTCGATGGCCTTCTCGTAGTCACCCTTCTCAAAGTAGGCGGCGCCCAGGTTGTTCAGGTAGGTGATGTCCTTGTGCAGCTCCCAGGCCTTGGTGTAGTGCTCGATGGCCTGGTCGAAGTTGCGCTTCTTGTAGTTCTCGGTGCCCAGGGCCTTCTCCTTGTCGGCGGCCTCCTTGGCCTTCTTTTTCTCCAGGGCCTCCTCGTCCAGCTCTTCGGGCTCGGGTTCCGGCTCGGGAGTGGGCGCCTTCTTGGGGGCAGCGGGCTTCGACTGGGGAGCGGGGGCGTCGGGCATCTCGGTGTCCTTGGAGGCACCGGGCATCTCGTCGGGCATGCCCATCTGCATGTCGACGCCCATGAGGACGCCGAGGACCTGCAACATGCGGGGGTCGCTGAAAAGGTCGGGGGAGGCCTTGGGGTTCTCCTTCATTTGCTGGAGCTTGGCCATGAAGGAGGGGTCGGAGAGGAACGAGCTCGTCTTGGGGTTCGCGGCGAGCTTCTGGAGGAGCTGGGGGTCGTTGAACATGTTGCCGAGGCCGAGGCCTGGGTCGCCGGCGTCTGTTGTCGTTAGCTTCTCACAAGGTAGCAGGTCATGCAGGTAAGAACATACCACCACCAGCTTCCGCCTTCATGGCCTTCTGCACAGCGGCGAGATCCTTCTTCAGGCCGGCATTGCTGGGGTCGACCTTGAGTCCCTCCTCGTAGGCGTCGTTGGCAGCGAGCAAGTCGCCCAGGCCGTAGTAGGCGGTTCCCTTGCGTCCCCAGCCCTTGGGCCAGTCGGGCTTGATCTCTGTCGTCTTGTTCGCGTCGTCCAGCGCCTTTTGCCAGTCCTTCTTGGAGGCGTAAGCGGCCGAACGGTTGCTGTAGAGGATGTGGTTCTCGGGTTGGAGGGCGATGGCCTCGGTGAACTTGGCGCTGCACATTTTCTTGTCAGTACTGAGTTTCGTTTCCCACGCAGAATATTCCGAGTTACTTACACGGCCTCGTCAAAGTTCTTCTCGGCAATGGCCTTGTTGCCGAGAGCCTTGAGCTCGTCTGCGGAAGCCATGGCTGATGTGTGTTTGTTTTCGTGCTATGCCTTGCGAATGAACGTTTCGAAAAAAAGAGAACAAAAAAACAGCAGTTTGTAATTACAGTCGCGGGTATGTTCGTCGAAGGGGGTATTCGTGAGGGTTTTCAATCGTGGTGAGAAGAAGATGCAGAGGGAAAAGGTCAAGATTTCAGGCCGCGGGGTTCAGTCAGGCAAGGCGGGACGGAAGGCAGAAAGAAAACAGAGCCCCAGAACAGGCCCAAAAGCTCACCACCCGAGTGCCTTCTAGCTGTTTCGATGGTTGGACCGGCCGCCGGCCCTGATTGGGTGGGAGGGGCCGGGGTGGCTGGCCAGTGCGGGTGGTGGGGTTCAAGGCTGAGCACAGCTCGCCCTGCCAAAGCGAACCAACTGGGAAGTTACCCCTCACCCCCCTCACCTTAGGTTGCCTCGAACCTACCTCTCACCTCGGTGTGGCGGACTGACATCTCGGTGAGCATGCAGTCCAGGCAGGTGTAAGGTGAGGAAGGTGACCAGGGGACTTCGGACGACATGCGCCTTTCGTCTGCCACCGACCGCAATGTCAGCACTAATGCGCTGCACACTGCATTTTGACGGGATTGGACGCGACGCGGTGTGCTTATAAGCAAGGCCAAGCATCCCATTTCCTCAAAAACCACTGCAAACCCTCAGCAAAACATCGTGACATCCTCACTTACACACCCCCGAAAATGGCCTCACCACCAACCCCCGAGGTAACCCTCTACGACCTCGCCTGCACCAAAAACACCTGCTTCTCCCCCGCCGTCTGGCGCATCCGCCTCGTCCTCAACTACAAACGCATCCCCTACCGCACCGTCTTCCTCGAGTTCCCCGACATCGAGCCCACCCTCGCCGCCCTCGCCATCCCGCCGTACCCCCAGGGCAAGCACAAGTACACCGTCCCCGCGATCCACCACCTCCCCTCAGACACGCACGTCATGGACTCCCTCCCCATTGCCAAGTTCCTCGAGGAGACCTACCCTTCCCCGGCGCTGCCGCAGTCCACCCCGCGCGACGCCGAGATCATCGCCAAGCTGCGCGATGTCGCGGGCCCGATTGCGTTTGCGTCGGTGATGCCCCGCGAGCCGGGCATGCTCTCGCCCCGCGCGGCGGAGTACTTCCGGCGGAGCAGGGAGGCGGGGCTCGGCGGCAAGACGCTGGAGGATGTGCTGGCGGGAGAGGAGGGTGTGTGGGAGAAGGCGCAGGAGGGGCTGCGGGAGTTTGATGAGTTGGTGAAGGAGGTTCGGGGCAGCAAGGCGTTTGTAGGTGGGGATGAGCCTAGCTTGACGGACTTTTTTATTGCGGGAGGGTTGCAGTCGATGAGGACGGTGGATGAGGGGTTGTTTGAGAGGTATACCAAGTGGGAGAATCTCAAGGGGGTTTACGAGGCGTGTGTGCCCTGGATGGACAAGAAGGATTAAAGTGGCTAGGAGTGGACGGTAAGTACTCTTGGATAGTAGAATATAGACATATTCAACTTTTCTCAACCTAGTAGACTATTTATCGTCAACCTGACCTCAATCTTGCTGAGAATACGTAATCGTACTTGTTTGAGCAAGCCCTGATATGCCACCCTCTTCATCCCAGTCCATCCTCTCCAACCCCCATCACCACCACCTCATTCCTGCTTCTTCGCCAACGCAACAACACTAAACTCCAAATTCCCATCCGCAAACCCAATAAACCTCTTCACCCCCCTCTCCAACGCCCCCTCGCTCAACATATCCTCCCCCTCCCCCAACGCCCCACGATCCACAGGCCCATCGCTGCCCCCCTCCAGCTCCCACAAATGCCCATCCTTCCCCCTCACAAACGCAATGAAATGATAGCCCGGCTTCTCCTCCGCCGGCGGCACATACGTATCCCCCCTTCTCGCCGCCTTCATATGCGCCTCCTCCAGCTCCTCGCTCTCATACAGCACCGCCGCCCTCTCCTCCCAGCCCAACGGCTCCGCCTTCTCCAACAAGCGGTCCATCAGACTCCCCTTGCTTACAAACTCCCGCGCCTCCCCGTTGGCCACCGCATGAATCAGAGCGTAGAGCCCGCACGCGTTGCCGATCGTCTGGCGGAACCATGTCACGGGCTCGCCGGGGCCGGAGCCGGCGTAGGTGACCCCGTCGTGCGCGAGGCGGGTGCCGTCCTGCGCGCGGACCTGGTGGTACATGGGCGACGGGGTGATGAAGATGAGCGCCAGGGCGGGGCGCGGGATGAGGGACAGGAGGGAGGGCTCGTCGAGGGAGTAGACGTCGTAGAAGCCGAGCGAGGGGGAGATGCCGAGGTCGTGGATGAGGGGGGTGAAGACGTCGGGGTTGTTTTCGAGGGGGATGAAGGTCTTTTTGCCGCTGGGGCTGAAGTAGACTCCTTCGGCGGGCATGGTGGATGGTTGTCAGGTGGGTGATGTTTTTGATGGGGTTGTGGTGATTTGGTGGGATTGATCCAGATGGTGATCTTGTTGTGGTTGTGAGGAAAGAATGGCCCTGGATTGGGTTGCGTTGGCGGTGAGTTGAGGTGAGGTGCGTTTGACTTACAACAGGCAGGAAGGTGTACGCAAACCGTCCGGTGCCTGCCTGCCAGGTCGGGGCGCACTCTGATTCGTCCGCACCTTCAGATTTGGCAATTCAAACGTAAAGCCCGACAATGCGACATGCTCGGTCTTTGGGTCTTTTGTTTCTCAGTTGGCGGCATCTGGCAGATTCACAATGGAACATTGGGGGCAGCTTTGTCTAGATAACGGGCTGAAATATTCAAGTGCTATTATTCAGTGCGTGGCATTTTTATTATTGCGGATCATCTGTTGCTGACCTGCGTTTATTGCTGAGTATTTCCTCAAACATGGAACATCAAACGAGCCCTGAGAAACATAACCATAAAACTTTTACCAGGCAAATGACAGCTGGGGAACCAGATAGATGCACGTTGAACAAAAATGTTCACCCGGCAGACTCCCGTTAAAGACCCACCCTGGCCATCGAGCCAAGCTTCCATTGGACTTCCCCAGGCTTCGAGGCATGTCCCGAAGCTCTTCGGACATCGGCAGGTCTGCAAGGTCCGAAAGCCCCGGTCGACGTGCCATTGCTCCGTAATCATCAGGCCGCCCGTCCAATTGAAGCCGCCTCGGCTCCCCATCCCGTCGGATGTCATGATCCCACAGCGGCATTAGCGGGAGCTCCCCAGGTGAAACCGCGCCAGAGCTCCCTGCAAGTCACCCCAGCAATGGCTGCACGGGCCAATGAGGACATGCCTTTTAATCAGCCAACTTTCCTCTGCCCCCCGACGGTTCCTCAGAAGCTCGCTGGAACACTGGAACAAGCTCCCGAAGACGTGCAGCTCTGCCTCCGTCACGCAACACCACTCCAAGGGGCAAGGACGTCACCGAATCGTACCACTTTCGTCGCCGTATATCACCGCCCTCCCTCGCCGCACTCCGGGCCTTCTGGCATCCTTCAAAATGGCCGGATATCTCTTGCTTGTGATCCCAAGCATCCTCATGAGCTTGCTCTTGTCGAGATCACCATTCATGATGACCACTACGCCGCAGACAACGAAGCCGTGGGCCGATGGGCCTATGAAGCTCATCCCCACGCCGCAATACGTGACCAAGAAGGTTAGCCATGGCCCCGGAGATTTGGATGCCATTGGCCCCACTGAAGAAGCTTCGACTGACAGAGCATTGAACAGACCGATCTCTTCACGACCGGTGCGACGCACATGTGCTTGCTGCACAACTCCATCCTCCGCGGTTACAACTCCATCTACCACCAAGCCCCATTAATCCAAGAGGCCGACAAGGCAGACTTTGTGGGATACTCCCAGGCCTGGTTCAAGTTTGTCAAGTCGCACCACGATGACGAGGAGGAATCTCTCTTTACCAAGGTCGAGGACCTCTTGAACGACAAGAACGTCTTCGCCGAGACGCACAAGGAGCATGGTACGTGCCAGGTGTTAGCAAGGGGCAAATGCTGCCACTAACAAAAATGCAGAATCTTTCCTTGGTGGCCTTGCCGAATTCAACACCTACCTCTCGTCATTGTCCTCGCCCTCCGACTTCTCCGGTGCCAAGCTCCTCGACATCATGAAGGGCTTCCAGGAGCCGTTCGAGAACCACTTCCACAGCGAAATCAGCACCATCGCCGGCCTGGCGGAACACCCGAATGCACCGAAAGAGGGGACACCGGAGGCGGCGAACGCGAGCTTGACGTTCAAGACGTGGGGCAAGAGCACGGTGACCAAGGCCGGCACGGCGGATGTCGTCCCGTTCTTCCTGCTCAACCTGGATCGGACGGTGGAGGACGGGTTGTGGGCGAACTGGCCGCCCATGCCGGCGCCGATCAAGTGGGGACTGATCAATATCGCCGGCGCCTGGCATTGGGGTTGGTGGAAGTTTGCCAGCTGCGACGCGTCGGGGCAGCCGAGGGAGCTGTACGCGTTGCAGAATGTGTCGGCGGAGGACAAGGCGAAGGCCGAGCTCTGAGGTGTGGTGAGGAAATTCGTTCGTGTTCAATCAAGGGTCGGCGTTGGCGGGAGTTCAGGACCTGGGGATCCATTACTTGTAAGAGAAATATTGCAGCGCGCAGAAAAGAGTCAGATTCTTCATTAAACTTGTCAGTCGGGATGTCTCGTCGAAAGGCCAGGATCCACGTCCGAGCTCGCCCGGGGAGAACGAACAGGGCGCTCGGCGGCGGTAGCACCATCCGGCAGCAGGCCGTTCGATCGGCGGCGGGCGCGATGAGATGAGAAAGGGCGAAAGTGACCCCGCGAAATTTGCCAGTTGGACGCTAGAAATCGAATATGCATCAATATGCATCAGGACCCTGTCTGCTATTTCCCCCCACCGCTAGCCCGAACCTTGATCTCACCGATGTTCTTTTCATAGCCAGAGACATGCAGGACGCAGGCCAAGAGTGAACACGACGGATGGCCTGCGGTCGCTGAGGGATTGGCGGCGGCGATGGTGATGCCCAGCGATGAGGCGCCTACCAACGGAAGAGCTTCACGCGATAGAGCAGCGAGGCGAGCTGCAACCTAATGCGACGCAACCCCGACGGGAGACGCAGACCGCAGGCGCAGATGCGAGGCGCCGGGGTGGCGGAACCCTCGTCTGGCCTCCCAATGGCCGAGAGACGCCGCTGAATGGGGCTCTGTATGGTGTTGTGTGGACGAGATCGGATGTCAACCCTCGTTGGTCTCGTCCAGCGATGCAAAAACATGTGAGGCCGCGTTGGAGCAGCGTTCGAGGCCGAGATCCTTCGCAAATGTTCTCAAAATCTGCCGGGGTCAACGGGAGGCGTCGTCGGCTACCTTGGCACATTCCCTTCCAACAATCGAGACTTTTCCGGTACCCAACGGCAGTCCTTCAACGAGCGCGGTGGTAGCGACGTTACGAAAACCGACCGTGTCTCTGATGACGTCCGACAAGCAGAGGTCTTGTCGCACTCGGCAGACATCTCCGACGATGGGCGTACAGCGGGCTCGAGCTGAAAGCTCACCGCATTCTGGACGTGGGTGAATCCGGGAAGGCTGTCTTGGCCGCGAGTTGCAGGGCATCTCGACCTTCTTTTTCGTGATGATCAGCCCGGCGCTGGCAAGGGCCAGATCCCTGAGAAGGGACATCGGGCGTGCATCGTGCGGTCCACCTGGTGGCCGCTCATCAGCACTACTGCGTTTGCGCCTGTTGCGAGCAAGCAATTCGACTGGCCTGGTCGTCTTTCCCATGCATTTGCAGGTGATTTGCAGCAACGAGATGGAACCTGGCCGTTGTACGAAGGTCGGTAAGAGGGTACAAAACGCATACAGTCTGTTGCGTTAATAGCGTCCGCCCCTCCTTTTTACTGAAATTACGCACGTATAATCCCTATATATATATAAAAATTTGCCTAATACTATATAGATATTTATAGTATAGTAATTAACCTATTTTAATAGCTTTAATTGATTTATTCCTATTAAATCTTATTATCTAAGAGTATTATAATACTTCTTAAATACTACTATATAACTTAATAGGTAGATAATAACCTATCTAGGTATTATTTATTACTTATTACTAATAGTATATAGAAATAATAATATATATAATAACTAGTATAGGATACTATTAGAGATCCTCTTTAATACTCTACTTTACTATTAATTAGGATTATTATACCTACTAAGAGGGCTTATTAGGCTATTATTACTAAAGAGGCTATTAAGGAGGCTACTACTAAAGTTATTATCGCTAAGGCTAAACTTAAAACTAATAATTTAGTAGCTTTTAAGTTTATATTATAAAGAAGGTATATATTTATAATACCTCTATTATTATAAAGAGCTCTAAAAGTATTTTCTTACTAAAAAGTAATAATAATATAGAGGAAGTAAAAAAAGGATCTACTATATATAATCTAACTTTAAAGTACCTTACCTTTATTAATACTATCTTTTTAACTAAACTTAACCTTAGTTAACCTAACTTCTTATTAAATTATTTAATTTATAGATAATATACCTATAGCCCCTTATTATAGTACTAATAATATATTTATATTATTTTATAATATATTTAAAGAGGAAAATAATATAAGTAATAAGGAACTAACTCTACTATAAATCTAAGTTACCTATAACTTAGTACTTAAGGGTAATAGTTTACTTATTCTTAATCTAACTATTAAGAGTATTATATATAATAGATTTAGTATTATTAATATATTAGATATAAATAATAGAGACTAGGAGGTAGATAGTAACACCTAACTTAAAATAGAAGTAGTTTATTTATATATTTTAAAGAAAATTAGTATTACTATTATTATTACTTAGAGGAAGTTTATTAGTATATTTAAACTAATACTAATCTTCACTTAGGTCTATCTATTTACTAAAGAGGTTATTTAGCTAAGTATTCTATAGGTTAATATTATTCTCTCTCTTAAATAAACTAAAGAGAGAGGTAAAGTTTACTTTACTATTAAGTAGTAATATAATATTATATTAATCTCTAGTAGTATAGTAACTAATATATAAATACCTTAAAAAGGTAGCTAAGTAGGTATTTTAGTTAGTATATAAGAGGTGATTAATTATAAACTTAATAATCCTATAAATATTAAGTATTAGAAGGAGGGTATATATAGATAACTTCTCTATATATATATTTACTTAGAGTATTAAAAATATAAAAATAGTTTAAGTAATAAGAAGTTTAATTAGTATTATATATTAGGCTAGAAGTACTATAAGATTAAATCTTACTATATAGAGAAGTAGGTAAAAGCTTTTATAACTAAATAGATTAGTATTACTAATATAGAACTACTTAAAGAACTACTTAGTAAGATTTTTTATAATTAGTTTATAGAGGATTAAAAATACTAAAATAAGAGAAATAAGAATATTATTAAGGTTAATAATAATTAGGAGATAATAGTAATAATAGAAGAGAAGGCTGAAAATACTATATTTTTATTATTAAAATTAAAATCTAGTCTAACTAATACTAATAGTAATACTATTATTAATATATATAGTAATATAGGGGTACTAAATTATTATCTTTAATATCCTAACCTATATATATAGCTATTACTACTAATACTAATACTAATAATATATTAGCTATATATAAATATCTTATAGTATTTATTACTAACTCTTCTACTATTAAACCTTTTAAGTACTTATTAACTAAGTATTATACTTTTAATTTATTTATCCTCACTAGTAGTATTAGATTTACCCTAAAAAGCTTTAGATTAAGTAACTAGCTTTATTAAGTAGTTTATATCTATCTATAGTAAGTAATATAATATTAATAAAAAGTTTAAAAAGAAACTATAGAAACTATAATTAGTAGATAATAACTTATAAGTAGTTTATAAGTTACTAAATATTTAGTTTACTAAATAAGGTTTTATTTAAGATCTTACTAAAGATATTAAAAACTTAATTAAATCTTTTATAAATAATAGCGCCTACTATAGAGGGTAGTTTAATACTATTTCTAATATAATATCTCACTCTAAACTTTATTTAAACTATTAAGAATTAGAGGGAGATATTTATATAAAAATATATATTAGATTACTAAGAGGGATAATAGTAATACTAGTTAAAAACTCTATAGTATTAGTTTTAAATAAGTTAAAGTTATCCTAATATATTAATACTTTAGTATTATATTAATCTATTAAGTAAGAGATCTATAGTATACTAATTAAAGTTAGTTAATATAGTAAGTATATATAAAGCTATTTACTATTAAATATAGCTAACTTTATAGGTATTTTAGAACTCTTTAGTTTTATTTTATTACTACTACTATTAGTATTATAAATACTACTTATATAGTTCTAGATTAAATAAGATAAAGTTAAGTAAAGTAGTAAAAATAATTAGATTAAAATCTTAAGTAATATATTATTAATAGAGATATATTACTTAGAGGAGGATAAAGAAGAAAAGTAATATAGTAAAAGTAGTATAAAGTTTAACTATATATATAATTTTCTTATATAATATATTTAATTATAGAAAAGTTTATTTATAGCTATAGATTTAATATTACTACTATATATATATAAAAGCTATAGAATTACTATAATTTTAGATCTATAAATAAAATAATTTATCTTAATACTTCTTAATTTAATATAGTTAAAGTTTCTAACTATAGT